TTTTTTTTGGTTTTTTTTTTTTTTTTTTTTTTTTTTCTTTTTGTTTTTTGTCAATTGTTTTACAAAGTTGATTTGATATTCGAATGCGGAAACCATTGCAAGCTCGCTTTGTATAAAATGAAGTGATTTAATTTGAAACAGAAACGAGTTGTGAAATGCAATTCTATTCGTATGCTCACTATTCACGATTCTCATTTATAAAATGCTATTGCTGTTCTCTTAAGCCTCGCACGTAGATATAGCTTGGTCCTATTGGTTTATCATTTTTCATTTGAGTACGTAAAATGTAGTTAGACTTTTAATTAAACATTTAGGCTTAATGTAGGTCGTTCAAGTCGAAAACTTAATGTTAGATAGTTATACATATATCGTTTAATTTCATTTCTTTTTCCTTGTTAACTAAGAACTGCTGTCGTACAATATTAGATTACCCTTCCTTAGCTCCCTCCCGGCCAGAGTTGACTAAAAGTAAACACAACTGCGAAACTGAAGAAGCCGATCATAAAGACCACAGAAGTCGCCTCGTGACGGCATATTGCGATAACTATAAATAGACGAAGCCGTAGACTATTCCGCCGGACAATTGGGCACGAAGATAAGGCGGTAGATTAGTTTCTACAAAAGCTTTAGTTTATTGCACAAAATATGGATCTACATATGTTAACGGGCGCTTAACGCGCGTTCCGGGACAGCACCTCGTACTCGAATATCTTGACCTCCTCGGAGCCGAAGGGTATGTAGAGGCAGCCATGCGAGGGGTGCACCTTGCCCACGGTCAGGCTGCCGGCATGGTAGCCGCGTCCCGCGTACAGCGTCTCGCCATCGGTGGTGTGACCCACCTCAACGGCCCCGATCGGCACCTCGCCATTTGCGCCTGGCAGCCATATGTAGTTGTGTCCGCTCAGCACCTCGTAGTTCTCCAGCTCGATCTCGTTGCCGCCATAGGCCACGTAGGCCTTGCCCTTGTTCGGTATGACCTTCGCCGGCAGCAAATCGTTGTTCTGGAATGCACGGCCAATGAAGATGGTGTCGCCATCGGCATCGTGGCCAGCGACGACGGCGTCTTGGGGCAAGGCGCCGTGGCTGTAGTGTAACCAGGTGTGGACTGCAAAGGATCAGCGGGAGGTGTTAGGTGATGCAACCAGATCTATGGACTCGTGCGCCACTGCTTACCAGACATTCTGCTCGGCTTTCGAATCGGTACTAAGGGTTTCTAAAGGCGGCCAGCTAATATTGCTTTTGGAAGTTTTTTCCATTTGAAATCTTATCTGGGGCGGCATTAGGGAACTAGCTGGCTGGGGCGATAACGCAGTTAACAATCGATTCACGAATAAATTATCTAAGCAAGGCAACCATTGAAATCATAAACTGAGCACAGATGTGGTTTACCATTCATGATATGATTCACTTAGCATAAAAGAACTTTGATAATCACGCTGGAATTCGCTTTAAAAATGATTAACGATCTGATAAATCGGAGAACTTACTATTTGTGAATTTTAGCTCAGAAATAGATTAAAGGAATTCTTAATAAATAACATGCTTTTTCAATATTGATTTACAGCTCGTTTCGCAGTTCAACTCTATCTAGATGGCCGTAATTTAAGATTATTTTTTTATATACTCGTAATTGTTAACAAATGTTTGCCTAAAATTCAGCAATTCCTAACGAATGAGTTCATCTATTTACAGTATTCGAACGATAAATACACAGGTGAGATGTAATTCAAAATGTAAATATGTACCTAAGTATTCGCTAAAAATAATTGCAATTGAATTTGAATTCTCATTTTTCTTTTTGTTTTCTTTAAATTTTATTAGCTTTGATTTAGAGTCGATATTTACCTAGGAGCGCTTTGCGTTTTGTTTGTATTTCATAGGTAAATAGTTTAAATTAGGTTGTTTAATATTCGTTTCGTTTAAATGTTCTTTTCCTTTTTTCCATCAGTTATTGTTAATTAGTTGTTAAATATTCATTTATAAATCACATAATTGCTTGATGATTCCATATATGTAAATATGCTTCACATTGTTTTTATTTCATTTTTATTTCTTTCTGCCGTTTATCCTGTGTTATCCTTGTGCGCAATTACTGTTATGTGCAATTGTAGACACTGAGAGAGTGGAAGAGTGGGAGAGATAGATCTAGACACACAATATAGCTGGTGAGGGGGAGTGAGAGAGACGATACAGATAGAGCAGCGGATGTAGTGTACAAATATTTTCGCGCAGCTGAATTATATTAAATGCGTTTTTCACGTTCGCTTTAGCTTAATCCCTTCCTTCATCTTTCACGGGTCGCTAGCTACAGCTCTATTTGCTGTTCCTTCCGATTATTATAGCTGTTGTTGTTGTTACTGCTACCTTGCTGTTGCCAAAAGCAGCAACGCAATGCTAAGCAGCAAGGATTCCACGTCCTTAGGGTGGCTGCCATTGCAGGCGTCCGCATCACTGCAGCTCTGAAGGCAGCCGTGAACGTATCTGAAAGAGATGGAAGAACGGGTAGCTCAGATAATGTTAAGTTATGGCTGCGACAATGGGAATATATTAATGTCAGCGTGCTCAGCGCAAAGGTAACATATGAATTTCGTTAAAGCTCGACTGCTCGCCTTTTAATATACGTCACGGAGCAGGCGAGAAATATGGGATTGCCACGGTAAGATGGCTACGCCATCAGACCTATCTAACTTGTGCACATCGGCGAGCAAACATGCCAAGCGAGTTGGCCTAACTCGAATTCGTATTTGTATGTAAATAGCATTTACAGTGCAAAAAAATAAAATAAATTAAAATAATAAATAGATAAAATGTTTTTCTGCACAACTTTGAACTCGGGCTATTGAAAATTTGTACAGCTTAAAGATGTTGCCTTCTGTTATAGTTAACAGCCCTGCTATCGTTACGTGCTCTGTTATAGGTGCACAGCATTAACGTATTATGTTAACTGCCAGTACTTTAACATAATCTTTATCGTAATGCATATCGTTTATTGCAAATCACGAGCGAAATTGCCTGACTGCCTATCACGTAATTGTATCAGTTCATAAAAAGTTATGGCAAATTCAAATGTGCCGTCTTTATGGCCATATTAGAGACCTGTGCCAATCACCTCATAAAATTTCACGCATGTCATAACAAAAGATATGTGTATGTATGTATACATAAGGATACATTAATATCTTCTTACATCCACATATATATTTGTTTAGCTCACGCACCTGTTGTCATAGTAGAACTTTCCACAATGCGACATTCTTATGATCTCTGTGTCTGTGGTGAGTGTGCCGCTGTCCAGGGCGCAGCCGCGCACCGTTATCGTCTCGCCGTTGTCATCTGTGCCGAGTGCAACTCAGTAATATTAATAACTCACATTCATTCATTAGAGCATCCACTCACCATAGTAGCCGGCGATCTTGATGCAGGCGGTGGCCGGGAAGAGGCCGTCGCGGCCCTTGCGGCCGCCCATGCAGGGCGACTCGAGGATGGCGGTGGAGTAATTATTATGAAATGGATCGTCGCAGGCCTTGTTGGCGCCGTTATTCGAAACGCACTTGAAGCAGTCTATGCAGTGGCCTGTCGAAGCGAATTAGAGTCAGCGACAATTTGCGAGAAATCTGCTTGGCTTACCGTTGTGGACGAACAGCAGCAGGAGCAGCAGCACCAGGCAGCAGCTGATTTCCATTGACGTGGGCGCCGCCATGCTCGAAACACACTCGACTCAACACGCGGCCTCGCTGATGATGCTGAACGGGGGGGACTGCGTTATGTGGCCCAATGCCAATGCGGGCGTTGCAGCATTTTCGGTCTGTAAGCAAGCCAGAGAAATACATTATAGCTGATTGATTATACGGCTTCTGTTGATGGCCGACAAATTGAAAATGTCAACGTCAAGATGTGGGCAGATGCGAGCGTTGGGTTTTTCCCATTTTCATAATTGGCTTTTGTGGAAATCCCTGGCCTATTCATGAGTGAGGCTCAATTGAGATTTGGATTTGTCGACTCGACGCTTGAAAGCGTCAAGCTCGTAAAAATCAAAAGTTGAGTTCATCTCTCTCATTCCCACTTTCTCTGTCTCTCTCTCCCTCTCTGTTAGGCCAGAGGCCATAAAAATTTGGCCGGGACACCCGAAATGCAATCGAAGAGAAGACGCGCAGCCAGCCAAAGGCAAAGGTAATAAATTTTACAGCACCAATTTTTGACACAATTTTTCAGTTCTCGTTTTTGCGTGGACTCAACTGCGTGCAAGTCGAGTCGAGTCGAGTCGAGTCGAGTCGGGTCGGGTCTGGTCTGGCATGGCACTGGTGGGAGGCGGAGACGCAGCCTGTGGCATATTTTTTATTGGCAGAGTGTAAATAATTGCTTTTCAGTCGATTTTCGTGTTGAATGCCCGGCCATATTTGCTTCTTTTTCGTGTTGTTTTATAGTTCTTGTTAATGGCCATTGTTGTTATTGCTGGACGCTTAACGAGCGCAGGCGGGCGGCTGGGCCATTTTTCTTGTTCTACGATATAAATTATGACAAATGATTTGCAGTTGCGAGCAGCGACCTGCCAAGAACTGTAGTTAAGTCGAGAGCTCATAACTCATGTGGCTGTCAAAGACGACTCAATGGCTCGCCCATCCACCTCTCATTACAGTCATCCACGCCCATGTTTGCCTTACATTGCGCTGCGCTGAGATGCAATACATTCAACGATATTTGTCAGTCAATGCCCGCCCTGGAATCTCGATCCAAGTCAAAGCAATCGATGCAGCGCCAACTAAATAAAACATGTAAACACGCTACGGGATCCATTCGAATGTGCCCAGAGGGCACTCAGTGCGAATTCTCGGTTATTGCTCTACATATGCATCACTCCGATGATTTATTACAGGCAGCAGGCGCGACAGATGCCGCGTTACAAATTATGAAAATCTGCATGGCCCACGGGTCGTATGTGTCACATTTTAGACGCAATTGACTGCGTTAATTATGCGCCCGGGAGCCCAGGCAGGCAGGCTTGCTGCCGGGCCAGTAATTATTTACGAAACAAAGTTGAGTTACGTAATTAACACAACAATTATTTAGAATCTATCTCGTCTGGCTTAGGCGGCCATTCACGCTTAAGCTCAGCTGACTCTTTCAGCGTAATAATTCGCTTTGTCAGCTTGAATTTCGCCGTTAATGTGTTCACCTGCGCCATCGGACAGTGTAACAAGGTGTAATTAAACTGCGAAAGCCACTCGCCTCTGCGTTTGCAAATTACCCACTGAGCAGACTAACGGGCTGACTACTTGACCACGTCACTGTCTGGCCTGACTGAGTCGCTCGCTCTGGCTCTGCCAACTCACAGGAAACAACATTCAGCGCCAGTGTTGACGGAAGCGGAAGCCAGTCAATGCCAAACCAAGCCCCATACAACAGTTCTTGTCTGTCTCTGCCTTTGATTCCAATCCATTCCATTCTATTCTATTCTGTTCTCTGGCTGAATAGTTTACCTTCTGTGCATTGTGTTGTTGCTATTGCTCGACTCTCTGTGCCTCATAAATAGAATATAAAGCGTTGTCAGTGTCTCTGGCTGTCGCCAGGTAGTTGTCCCTGTTGTCCTGGTCCTCTTTAACGATGGCAAATCTGCTTGTTAGTTGCAGCCTCAATGGAGTTATCTCATTGTCTGTCTGTGGCAGGACTTGTTTAATTTCGTGGCTACCTTTATGGCCAGGCAATGGCTAAGCTGCTCAGTCAATGTTTACGACAATGCGCAAACTTTGTGGAGAAGTGTTTGCCTCATTTCCCAGAACATCCCACAAAGGCAACTCAATTAAAGCCATCCTCATAATTTCTAGCACTGAATCATTTTCTGCTTTCGCTAAAGACCTCGACTCTGGCTGATATGTATTATATGGTTTACATGGGAGGCCATGGCTCGTGGCGCACATTAAAGATGAAAAATGACAGAGCCCTCGAAACACCACAAGTC